TCTCTGTCAAGTCCCATTTCTGTTCCCATTTGACAGGTGGGGCTCAGAGAGGCTGGGCTGCTTGCGTAGAGTGGCACAGTTTTACGCTGGCCAAGCTGGGATTCAAACTGAGGCGGGCCTAGTTCCAAACGCTGTGCCCTTTTCTAATCTTTGTTGACATCTTGAACATACTTGTAGCCCGTGATCAACCCTTTAGAACTCAATGTCCTTGGCTGGCCAAAGACCCTGCCTCAGTTCTTTCCAGGGCATCCCTAGTCCCCTGGTGTAATGAAGTACCACCAGCTGGGTGGCTAAGGATCCCCGAAATTTACTCTCACACGATTCTGGAGGCTGAGCCTGAAATCGAGGTATCGGCAGGGCCACGTTCCCTCTTAGGGCTCTATGTGGGAATCTACCGCGGGCCTCCCTCCTGGCTCCCGGCAGCTGCAGGTGTCCCTTGGTTTGTAGATGGCCTTCTCCTCCGTGTCCCTTCACACGGTCTCCTGCCTGGGCACGTCTACGTGTCCAAATGTCCCCTTGGATAAGCACACCGGTCGTATTGGATTAGGGCTCACTGTAAGGACCTCATTTTAACTTGATTACCTCTCCGAACAAGATCACATTCAGAGGTGCTGGGAGTTAGAATGTATTTTCTGGGGTACACAGTTCAACACAAAATAGTCTTCCCTGATCCAGGTGCTCAGTCTCTATAGGGTGACCCAGTGGTCCTGTTTTGTTAATGGAGGATTGGCTCTTCCAGGAAGATAGTTAATTCTGCTGAAACCCCACCCAATAAGAGATACAGTGATTCCTAAATCCTGTATGTCTTATTGACAAAATGTATCCCCAGACTTTATTGTAAAATACATAGAGAGAAAGCAGTTAAAGATGCAAGCTCATCTATTTCAGTTCTCATATAGACAAAGCAATTTTGAAAAAGGAGAACAAAGTTGAAAGACATAATCCCTTGACTTGAAGACTTACTTTAAAAGTAGAGTAGCCAAGATGGCACATATTGGCAGGGGAACAAAGAGAGCGATGGACTAGAATAGAGTCCAGAAAGGGTCACTTCATTTTTTTTTTTTTTTGAGAAAATTTACATTCTTTTTACTGGTACTAAATTTTCCAAACTTTTTCCACTGTACTGAATCACTTTCATTTTTTATAAAAGTGTCCATGCCTTTCAATGGGCAAACCTAGTTCTGTCGAAAATCAGTTGATGGGTCATCCACCTAAACATACACTCAAAAACTCTACTGCTCTTTAAAAATTGGTTTTAAAGTTTTAAAACATAGGTGACCATCTTCATGACCTTGAGGTTGGCAAAGATTTCTTAGCCAGGACAAAAACAGCACTACCCATAAAAGGCATGGGCACAAAGCCGCAGACCCAGCAATGGCTTCTGCCGGGGGGAAGGGAGAGCGTAAGGAGCCTAGGAACTGGGGAGCTTTGTTCTATAAAGGCACTTGCTCAGGAAATGGTGGTTCTTTATTATTATTATTATTATCATTAATTTAGGGATTTCAAGACTCAGAGGAGAGGGGAGGCATGAACGGGGGAAGGAAGCAAACAGAGGCAAGCGACTATGATGGGTTCTGACAAAATGCCCTCTTCGGGCTGAAGTGAAAGTGGTGGCTTCTTCGAGGCCTGCGTTGGGCAGCAAAGGGCAGGGAGGTTCCTCCTCACTAGGGCATCAGATTTACCCCTCCTAGGAACCTGCCTGGGCGTGGGTGACTGGGTGTCCAAATTCAGGGTCCATGAATAGGTATTTGTGATGTCTCCATTTTGGCTAAAAGGATTGGGGGCTCAGAGAGGTTAAGGTCCCACTGCAGCTGAGTAGCCAAGGGGACAGCCAACCTTAATCACTGTAAAAGATGGAAAGCAGTTAAAGATGCAAGCCCATCTAGTTCAGTTCTCCAGCTTTTACCTTGCTAAAAGCAGACTGCTTGCAAAGGGACTAAATAAAGAACAAAAAGGAAATAAAATAAGAAACTGCTTGGGTGGGTTTTAGCAACTTGTATTTTAACAAAACCTCTGGAAATTCTAAGGCAGAGGCTTTAGATCGTGGTTAAGCCCCAGTCTCTGGATACCCACCAAACAGGTTTAGTGTCCTCTGCTGCTACTTACCGACTCCCTGACTATTGTTCTCATCTGTAATATGGGGATAGTAACACCAGGGGCTGTTGTAAGGAATTTCCAAGTTTAATGTAGCATGCTCGATATAATAAAATAACAAGATAATTTCAATATAACATGGATATGTGATTAATATATACTTCTATTTAAATATATATTTTATATTATACCTTTATACAACTTAAGTGTTAACTATTTTTTCACCGCATGGGATGGAGAGCTTTCTACCTGCCAAGGAAGGTCATGCCAGCTACTCCCATTGATCAGGTGGTGTAGCTGGTTGCCACTGCCCTCTGGTTTGGATCTTTACACCCTCATGCACAGAGTTGATCAAAAAATTCTCTCAAACCCCAAAACACCGAGAGCACACCTCCCTGGCCACTAGGGGGAGTCGCACAGGGCGCCCAAGACACTCTGGGGAGGAGCACCCTTGGGTTCCAATTCTGATTTTTCACTGGCTTGTTAGGTGTCCTTTCACAACGTGCTTTCTCTCTGGGCCCTCAGTTTCTCTATCTGCTAAACAGGCATTTGGGTGGGGGTTGGTGCATCTCATGGCTCCAGCTGGCTCTAACTGCTGGCTCTAACAGGGCGCGGAAAAACTAACTACGCAGGGCTCTCGGGACTCTGGGACCCGAGAATGGGAAAGGGATGGATGGGAAAGTTCAAACAACTCCCCCTCAAGTCTGGATAACACTTTATTATTATTATTGTTATTATTATTATTATTCTGTGCAGAGGGTGGGATTCAAACCCCAGCAAATTGGAGGGAGGATGGACATGATGTAGGAGCAGGAGAAAGAAAATCTGGCTCCTTCCCCAAAAATCCCCTGCTGAGCCGCCACCCCACCCCCACATCCTTTTGTTCTTAATCACCAAAATCTCTCCGCTTCCAGCCTCTTCCCCTTCTGAACCTGCTGGCCTCCCTCAGGCCTCATCAGCCTCCAGCTCTTGTGTATACTGAGCTGAGGGTTTCTTCGAACCAGGAACATTTCATTATTTTATTCATTGAACATTTTCTGTGGGGAGCCTGTGGTGAGAGGCCCTGGGGTGACAGCAAAATTTAAACAGATGCAAACTTTGTTCTCAGGACCCTCATCTGTGCGAGAGTGGGGGACCCGGGCAAACTGACCAATACATAAAGTAGGTGATTTCAGATACTGTTCTGATCCGAGCTATAAAAGAAATAAAACAGGGCGAGGTGATACAACGCTGAAATTGAGAAGGTCTCTCTTTAGAAGTGATGTTGCAGCTGAGAAACAGTAAGTGGAAGGAGTAACAAGTACTAAGACAACCAGGAAACAAGTCTTGAGAGCGGAGGCTTCGGGTTCCAAGTTCTTTCCCCTAGTGTTAACAAAAACCGAGCAAGGCCTCAGGGGGAACCCCAGTTTTTTGGGAGGGGGAGTGCTTCAGTTTTATCCCATGATGTAGGTGAGTGGAGGGGCGCTCTCTAGTGGTAACAACAGTTACATTTCGCACAGGTGACCTGGAATGCCACAGGCTTGTGCTTTGACTCTGGGCTAAGGATGAGCTTAGCCAGCTTCACTCGCTCCTGTCTCTGCTACAGTTCCTCGCGCAGCAAATACTTCCTCGTGCAGCAAATACTTCCTGAGCACTGTGTATATACCAAGTGATGTTCTGGATCCTGGAGGGAGAAATCGACAGTAAAGGACCCTACCTTCCTGGAGGTGACACCCTAGGTACTCACCCCCACCTCACCTCACCTCTGTTCTCCACTATCCTGCGGCTAAATTGGCCTCCTGCTGCTCCAGCCCAATAGTGCTGCTTCTCCCTTCTCCCCTGGGAAAGCAGGTCCCTAGTTCTCTCTTTCTTTTGTTTTTAAGATTGTATTTATTTCAGAGAGGGGAAGGAAGGAGAAAAGGAGAGTAATGCTGAAACCTCCACCCCGCTGCCTCTTGCGTGCCCCCAAGCCAGCCACGTGCCATGACTGGGAATTCAACCCACAACCCTTCGGTTTGCCAAGGATGCCCAACCCACTGAGCCACACCCGTCAGGGCAGATCTCTTTACGTCGCTGGTTCAGGTCTCAGCTCACGTATGACCAAATCAGGAAAGTGTGAACTTATTTTGTTTATTGCCTGTTCTCCCCACCAAAATATAAGACTCCGTGAAAGTTACCATTTTGCTGGAATCCTCAGCTTAACACTTTACATGTGCTCAAGTAAACATTTGCTGAATGGGTATGTTATCGGTTTGCCCCCCTGGCCTACATTGTGTCAGACACTGGTCAACTGTAAGTGAACAAATTAGACGAAAGAGACCAAAAAAATCCCTGCCCAGAGCATTCTAAAATTAAAATTGCAGCCAGATCCATCTCCTTTACCCTGGTTTATTTTTTTCTACTTATGTATCACCTTCTAAACTATTATAATTTACTTCTTGGTGTGCCTCCCCAACTAGAATGAAAGCTCCACGAGGGCAGGGGATCTTGTCCACCTGGTTCAGTGCCCTGCACTCGGAGCCTAGAACAGTGTTGGCACCCAATACCTGCTCAATAAATATAGAATGAATGAATGAATGCGGGATCTCAGCCTGCTTTTGCCGGCAGACCTTGAGCTACCTAGTTCCTAAGCGGAAACAAGCCTCAGGAACTGCCCAGAGGTGACCTCGGGCGACCCGATGAAGGAGTCCGAAGTCTGGGAGAAAGGCCATGAGAGCAGCTGAGGAGATGGGAGGCGCCGGCAGCCGGGGCGCAGCGGGGCCGGGGGACCTAAGGCACTTCCAGGAAGAGGCGCGGACGCCAGCGGCGCCGCGCCAGGAACTGTGGGCGGTGCCGTCGGAGGAGACGAATCACGTGACTCGCACCCGCACCGCCCACCCTGTGGTGGGCGGGGCGTCGGGGTGGGCGGGGTGCATGCAAATAAGCCTGGGACGGCGGCCAATCGAGGCGCGCGCCGAGGGTCCGGGCCGGGGGATCCGGGTCTCTGGCTGGCGCGCACGCTCGTGTCGTTGCCGCCTGTACTTCGGCTGGAGGCACTGCGTGCTTGAGAGCTGCAACCGCAACTTTTCAATCTTCTCAAGTTCTCGGCGGCCGGGCGGGCCAAGGCCGGGCCCGCGCGAGGGGCAGGCGGCGGCCGCCTCAGGCAGAGGCGGTGGTGCAGCGGGGAGTGGGGGCCGCTGCCTCCGCGGGCGCCCGGGCCGGCCCTCGCCTTTGCAGCGTGCTCCATGCATCCGGAGCCCGCCCCGCCCCCGAGCAACAACAGTCCCGAGCTTCCCCTCAGCGGCGGCAGCACCACCAGCAGCAGCCACCGGAGCCGCCGCCGCAGCGGGGACGGGGAGCCCCCAGGGTCGCCGCCGCCGCCCGCCGTCACCTACCCGGACTGGATCAGCCAGAGTTACTGCAAGGTGATGAGCCTCAACGAGCACTCGATGCAGGCGCTGTCCTGGCGCAAGCTCTACTTGAGTCGCGCCAAGCTCAAAGCCTCCAGCCGGACCTCGGCTCTGCTCTCCGGCTTCGCCATGGTGAGCTCGGGCCGCCCTGCCCTGCCCCCTCCCCTGTCCGGACGGCACCCGCCCGCAGCCCCGACGGGGCCCACGAGTCGGGCGGGCTGCGGGTGAGGAGAACAGCTGGGAGAAGGCTGTCGTGGACGTGAGGCGACATGGGCAACAAGTGACTCCCGATGTGGGCGATTGGGTGTCCTACAAACGTCCAGGGTTGGGGGCGGCAGGCACCTAGAGCTGTGCGAGCTGAGGCCCCTGGAGGGGGAAACAGCAGGAGGTCTGTAGGCGCGCGGTCCCGCCTCTGTTGGGGGTGGGGAGCCGGGGAGGGGAAGGACGTTAAGGGTCCGACCTCCGCGGGAGCAGGTGTCAGGAGGTGAGCCCCCGAGCTCGCTCTCTTGTGCCCCAACACTTGAGGCCGGAGGTACTGGCCACGTTCTTTACCCCCTAGTGGGGGGGTTTCCTGACACACCTCCTACGCATTTTCGGAGAACCTCAGCCTGGGGAATTGACAGCCGTCCCCACCCCCAGCTTCTCCTCCAGCCGCGTGCCCCGGAGTCCCTGGGCGCGGGGAGCGTTCCAGCTGCGTGGGCTCTTTCTCGCCGTAGAGGGTCGGCAGTTGGCTCTCCCCGCGCGGGGCCCTGGCTGCGGCGAGGCAGCGGGGAGGCAGGTGAGGCTGCGGGCTGTGCCGAGCTGGCCTGGGGATGCCGCCCCGGCCGGGCGCTCCCTTCCGAATAGTTCGCGGCTGCGTGCCCGCGTGAATGGGGTCTGTCGCCGCCCGGTCCCGTCCCCCCGTGCGCACCGAGGTCCCTAACCCAGAGCACTCCAGCTCGTCGGCGAGTGAGCTCATCCCTCAGCCCGGAGCGAGGGAGCGGCTCCACCCTCTGTGTTTTGTTGAGAGGAGTGTCTGTCTGGTACTCTCCCTGTGTCCCACGAGCTCGTGGGCCCAGGCCGCGGAGCCTGGAGTTTTCAGGAGCCCGGAGCAGGCCCAGGGCACGCTGGGTCCCGCGCGGAGGCCGGTCACTGGGGGCGGGAGGGGCTCCCCGCACTGCCCCGCGCTGCCTGCGTGACCTTAGACAGATCCCTCTCTGGGCCTCGGTTTCTGAACCGGTAAAAGAAGGCTGCTGCTCAGAAGTTTTTCTGACTTTAAAAATTAAATTGAAGGAGCCTTGAGAGAGAGAGAAAGTTGTGTGTGTGTGTGTGTGTGTGTGTGTGTGTGTGTGTAAGGGAGTGGCATTCTAGTTTTTAGTTTAGGCTGATATGATGAAATTCTTTATCAGTCCCAGATCCTAAGAGACCAATCTCTGCCTTGGCCTGAAGAATCTCGAAGAAGAGCTGACATTTACCAAGCACTCACTGGGTACCACGCGTTCCATGGGATTCCCCAGCCTTCACACTAACTCCTTGCCGCCGCTTTGAGGTGATTTGTTGTCCTAGGATTTCCCAAGGCCATCCAGCAATTCCAGGAGTGGGATTTGAACCCAGGTCACCTGGCATCCAGAACTCCTTTGGACACATTTGTTGTTTGTGCATACGGAGCTCTGATTGATGCCCAGCCAGGAACTTGTTAGGATCAGGCCTCCTGGAGAATGAGAAATAGGACAGAAAAGTTTTTATTTAATTTTAAAGGTTTTATTTATTTATTTTTAGAGAGAGGGGAAGGGAGGGCGAGAAACACTTGTCAGCTGGCGTCACACCCCCAACTGGGGACTGGGCCTGTAACCCAGGCCTGTGCCCTGACTGGGAATTGAACTGGCAACCATTCCATTTGCAGTCCTGCGCTCAATCCACTGAGCCACACCAGCTATTTTATTTTATTAAGTGAAATAAAATTTTACAGTTTGGGGGAAGGGAGTGACCCCAGTGATTGTCAGCTCTTTGCAGCAGTGCCCTGAAGACGGTGGGATGTCTGTTCCTCTTTTTCTTCAGGTCATAAATTCACAGCTGCCCAGACCCCTTCTCGCTCCAGGAGAAGTGAGGATCAATGGGTGACACATTTCTGCCTTCTTCCTCTCACGGAAGCAGGCCTTCTAAACAAATGTCACCTCCCTCTTCCTCTTGCTAAAAACACCGCGGGGAAGCCAGGAGGCCGGGTCAGCCTGTGGCATTAGGTGGGCCTTGGCTCTGCTGATGGGATCCCCAAAAATTTGTGCTGGAGGGGAGGAGCTGAATCCCGTGAGTCTCCGTTCTGGGTTAGCAGTTACAAAAGGGTAACTGCCTTTGCCGCTTGCCTGGAAATCTGTGGGAGAGGTGGGGTTGGGGAGGGAGGAGGGCTGGGCAGGGCAAATCTGCCTGTGCCCCACCCCCACCACAGGCACCCAGCCTTGTGAGTGAGCCTCTGAGGGGAAGGGGTGCCACACTGCCTGGCACCATGGAAACAGAGTGGGTGAGTTTCCTGGACTACTCTCCCTTGTCCTGTGAGTCAGCACTATCAACTTCCTGACCCCAAGGGCTTCCTTCCTAGAGAGACTTGGAAAACCAGAGGCACAAATGTGACTCTTGGTCTCCAGGGATAGGAGAGTCATTGGGGAATCCAGGCTCACCTCGTCCGCAAATGAGATTGAGGCAGGGTCTCCCAAGAGACTGGAAGAGATTGAGAGATGCCCCTCTTCCCTGCCCCCTGCCCCGCCACGGGCGGAAGGGCCTGGCCAGGAGTCCTCGTGTGCTGAGGAGATAGGCCATGGGACCTCAGACAAGCGGCTTTACTCTGGGGGGCCAGTTTTCTCACGTGGACAGAGGGAGCACATATCCTTGGTCCCAGGGACTTGCACGGGGATCCACTGCGAGGCCCAGGTAGGCCCGTGACAGGTTGAAGAATTTTCAGGATCTGATGATGTACACCTTAGCTGGACCTTCTAGTCTGCAAACAAGATTCCTGCTCCTGATGGCGTTTCTAGAAACAAACAACAGGTTGTGTCTGGGCTGAGCATCCAGATTTCGAATAAGGGGCCCTGGATGTAGCCATATGATCAGCATCCTGGAGGTACTCTTGAGCCAAAGATACCCTCGAGGGCTATGGTTCAGGCTATATGTGCCTCAGTTTACCGCTCAGTAAGCAGTTGCCAGCCTCAGCCTGCCCCCGGCCTCCACAGGGTCATGGCGAGCGCACGCGGCAGGCTTGGTCTGCTGGGGAGGGTAGGCTCTGGGCTGTGTATAAATGTAACGTTAGCCTAAGCAGAAGATAATTGGGAAGGTCAGCCTGCTGCTGTAAACAAAATGCTTTCCACGACCTGGGATCAATTATTTTTGGATTATCTGCCTCCTCAAGTTCTCTGCCTGCCACCACCCTTTTGTTCCCAGGTTCCAGAACGGGTTCATAAATTGCTTGGAATTTCTGTGAAAATGAGTTGGAAGGTAGGGCTCAAATCATAAGACATTGTTGAGCCTCTGTGACATGTTCAGAATCCAGGGGGCATGGAGATGAGTAAGAAATTACAACTACTTCTCATAGAGCGCATTACCAGCGGTGATCTTTGCTGTTGTTCGTTGGGCTCTTGCAAGAGGCTAGACCTTGTGCTAAGTGTTGTACCATCTCTTTTGATCTTCACACAACCTCGGGAGGGTTGAATGACATGGCTGGGTAAGCTGCAGGACCCTATGTCGTGGGATAGCCCCCTGGCTGGGGGAGAGGACGTGTCGCATCGGTGGGAGGTGGGGTGTGGCTGAACAAAGTAAGGATAGGGACTCTGGAGCCAGACATCTTGGGTTCAAACCCTGGCTCTTCCACTTACAACTGTGACACCATGAGGAAGTCACTGAATGTCTCTGGGTCAGTTTCCTCCTCTGTAAAATGGATGTAATAGTAGTACCAGCCTCACTGGGTTGGGGTGAGGATGCATTGTATTAGTACAGATGGTCCCAACTTAAGTGGTTCGACTTAACAGTTTTATCAACCTTACAATGGTGCGAAAGCGATATGCATAATAAATTACAACACTTTATTATCAAATAGGCTTTGTGTTAGATGATTTTGCCCAACCATAGGCCAGAGTAAGAGTTCTGAGCATGTGTAAGGTAGGCTAGTCTAAGCTCTGATCTTCAATAGGTTAGATGTATTAAATGCACTTTTGACTTATGATATTTTCAGTTTACAGTCAGGTTATTGGGATATCATCCCATTGTAAGCTGAGGAGCATCTGTATTTGCAAAGCACCTGAATATACCTGGCCCAGGTATTCAGGAATCTTTCTCACCTTTGTTCTCATGGTGTTGGGACTGCTTTCTATAAGGGTTAACCAATTGGAAAGAATGTAATTCCAGCTAAGCCTTGAGGGTGGTAGGGTTAGGGCAGTGAGGAAGAGCGCCCTAATCAGAGGGAGTATTAGAAACAAAGTTACAAAGTGAGAATTTATAGGGTCTCAGGGAAAGGCAGAGGGTCTGCTTTGGCTGGAGTTGAAGGTGTATAGAAGTAGTAAAGAATGATCGATCTAGCCAGGCAAGATGGTACAGTGCCTTGACTGGCTACCTGGAGAATTTGAACTCTTGTATAGGCAATGGGGAGCCATGGAAGGTTTTGGAGCAGAATTACATGATGAATTCTAGAATAACATAGATGATGTTGCCGTTTACTGAACACCAGCATGTACCTGGACCTTTTTCTTTCAGTCTTAGTTAATCCTCAGAACAGCTTTAAAGGTATATACTGTATACAGGAATAAGGCTCATTGAGGTTAGGATCACCCAGCTAATAAAATTCAGACCCTGGTCTGACTTGGATCCTTTTCTGCTCAACCACAGTCTCTGTCCGTCCTCTGTAGCTGGCTGATAACTGGGCCTTTGAAGTCTTCCAGATGCCCAGTTCTACACTCTGGGATGTGTATAAATGGAATTTGCTGAATGCCCCAAGGGAACAGTGCTCTCTGCCTAGCTGAGAAGCTCTTTGTAAAAGTTCACAAGTGCCTGTGGCACATTTCTGGAATTTTCAGCTGGCATCCATGTTGGGCTCTGCTGATTCTTTCTTGGGTCCAGTGCTCATGAAGGACTCCACGGTTTTCCAAGGGAGCACTGTGGTAATCAGTGTGGGG